ATATATTAAAAAAAAAAAAAACAAAAACCTGGAAGACTAGATACCAAAATATGAACAATAATTTTTTCAAAAGCTAGGATTACAAGATGCTTTTTTCTTTTATAGCCTTCTGCATTTTTCTTCTTACAATGACCATATAATACTTTTATAATAAAAATCTATTTTCATTATATAAATTTTTATATCCTTATAAGTACACAGACTATATCTGGACTCAGGTAAGAGTAGTTGCCTCTAGAGAGAAAAACTAGGTGGATAGAGAGCAAGGATGGAGTACTTCTTGTTTTCCATCTACAAAACGGGTAGGTACTTTTGAATTCTGCATTACATGCATAGTGACCTATTCAAACTATATTTTTAAGCACTGAGCTGGCTCCAGGGAAATGAGCCCTTATCCCTGAAGTACTCAAAATGCTGAGGCTGCCAGGGCATTGCCAGGCATGTTGCACAAGGGATTTAGGCAAACAGAGGAGGGGCCAGACCAGCGGAGCCCCAATATCCCTTCTAACTCCAAGGCTCCATGATTCTTTCAAACAAGTGCAAGAAAGAAAGAAGCAAGTAAGAATACAGATGAAAATTCATTCATTTATGTGTCATTCAGGAAATATTTTTAAGTGTCTCCTATGGGCCAGGTGCTCTGCTGGGCATCAGAGCAATGAACAAGACAACAGTGGTCCCTGCTTTCAGGGAGCCTACGGTTTACCTGAGCCTACAGTTTACCATCCTCTATCATTTCCTTTCATAACTTGCTAATTTTATTTCCTCCATGGAATTTATCACAACTGTAATTATTTTTTATTAATTTGTTAATTGTCCATCTCCTCTAAGAAACCATGTGTCTTATTCACTAATATGTCCATAACACTTAATATATTGTGCCTATGCATGGGTAGGAACTCAATAAATATTGGTTAAATCACGAACCAGTGTTGATTACACCTGCCACATAAACCTTCTTTGGGGCAACATACACATTCCCAAAGCTGGACTACCCAGTCTTTTACTCATGATGCCTTTTACCTATAATGGCATTTAGCAGCCACTATTTCACCTTGGTTTCATCTTCACATCCGAGTTCTCAGCTACCCTATCTTCAAAGGACACAGAGATACCCATTTGCTACTCCCAGAGCAGTGTAGATTCAGATAAAAGCACAAAGGTGGGAAGGAGAAGGCAGCTGAAAAAATATAATTACAAGAAGATGAAGAAGCAAAATGTCAAAAAGAAATGGAAATCACTGCTGTGAATAATACACCGTTTGCTTAATGGATGACAAATTATAGCAATAAGTCTCAGCATTTGATGGAAAAATGTCCCAGGATGGGAATCTGGCATGGAGCAGTCATGGGAAGAAGCTCTCCTTTTGTTCCCAAGTCTGTCGCAACTCTTTACACAGTGATTTATTTCAAATAAAACTTTGCGGATGAAGCAATCCACAATTAAAAGTCTTTTTAAACAAGGACAGGAAGAAATGTAAGATTCATAGCACTTATGTTCCAGTTGCATCTTCAGAATTATGGTACAGATAATGAGTGTATAAAGTAATATTACCTTTAAATTTTCTTCCAAGATGATTAACTTAAAGACACTATGAGCAGTCACAAAATGGGAGCTCATCTAGGGAAAAAAATTAGGACACAACATTCAAGATCACCTTGCACTCTATCCATGTCGTCTCCTTCATAATTCATGCCCAATTATAAAGAATATTGTATTTTTCCACATCCTTCCTTCTCCCCTTGTCACTAGAATGAACTCTCAAGTGAACAACCAGGAAATCCATGGGAAACCCAGTGTGGTTGGTGCCCTGAGCATTGATTGGGGGTTGAGAGCAGAACTGAGCAATGCAGCAACATTTAAGGTAAAGAGAATGCGGAGTGAGCATTTCTTTGACAAGCTTTTAGTTGGTCTTGGATTGGGTAGAAATCACACTGCAGCATCCCATCTAAGCCTTCTGACTCTACTCTTTGCTCTCAACATGCTGAAGGATAATAAAAACATATAATAACAATAATATGAATACCTAAGATTCACTAAGTGCATTGTCATGATATCTGTTGGAATTTTCCTGGTAACAGCACCCCAATAGTAAATTGAGTAAATTATCCCTTCGTTGTCGTGAACAGCGTTGGTAGGACTGTCATTAAGAGTGCCCTGGCCTAGACAATGAGTAGACATCTGACCCTAGCTAGGTAAATTGAGCTGCTTCTGCTGAAACATCAATTTTCAGACAGGCTAACACAAGGATAAAGACACCTGACATTGACCAGACTGTCAGCTAGCACCAATAATGTCCCTCCTGGGCTTGGTTTTTAGCTGATTCTTTGATTCTCTGAGTGACCCCATATCCTGCTAATGAAATCCAATGTTTCCTTGTGTATTAGTTTCCTAGGGCTGCCATGACAAAAGACCACACAAATTGGGCAGCTTAAAACAACAGAAATTATTCTCACACTGAAGAACTATGGAGGTTAGAAATGTGAATTCAAAGTGTTGGCAGAGTTGGTTCCTTCTGGAAGGGTTCTGGAGAAAATCTGTTCCCTGCCTCTTTCCTAGCTTCTGGGGGTTGCTGGTAGTCCTTGTTGTTCTTTGGCTTTGTAACTGCATCACTCCAGTCTCTGCCTCTGTCTTCACACCGTCTTCTGCCCTGTGTGTCTGTGTCCAAATTTCCCTCTTCTTATAAGGATACCAGTCATTAGGTTGGAGCCCACCTTAATACAGTATAATTTTATTTTAATTTGACTACATTACAAGGACTCTATTTCCAAAGGTCACATTCAGAGGTGGCAAATGAACATGAATTTTAAGGGGACTCTATTCAACCTAGTATGGCTGGAAACCAAAAATCCCTAAATGATCCAGTTACGTTCCAAACCAGTGTTAAGAGGGGGTTCTACACATTATCTGCTTTAATCTTTTTTTTTTTTCCTTAACATGATGTCTCAGTGGCAAATCTGCTTTAATCTCGACAACAACCCTTGAGGTAAGCACCTTTATTATTTTCATTTTAGAGGTGGAAAAATGAAGACCCAGAGGATTTGCTCAGGGTTACAGGGCCTGTAAGAGGCAGTTAGGATTCAAGGTGAGGTCTATAGCTGATACAAAGCTGTCCTCTTAACCACTGCATTATCTTCCAAGCTTTGCCCTAGTTAGAAGTACACTGATGTTCCCCCAACCCTCAACCATAAGCTATGAAAGGGAAATGGTCCACTTATATATTGATCTGGAGCCAGATCTCCACATTTCTGCATGGGTACTCTACCTTTTCTGTACCTTGGTACTGGATGACAACCAAAGTCATGAGAAGAACAGAGAAGCAAGAAGAGTCCTGAGAGAACCAGAGAACAGCTTCCATAATCCTCTGGTCAGAAACCCACCTGGAGGCCGGGCGAGGTGGCTCATGCCTGTAATCCTAGCACTCTGGGAGGCCAAGGCGGGCGGATCGCTCGAGGTGAGGAGTTCGAAACCAGCCTGAGTGAGACCCTGCCTCTACTAAAAATAGAAAGAAACTAATTGACCAACTAAAAATATATATACGAAAAATTAGCCAGACATGGTGGTGCATGCCTGTAGTCCCAGCTACTCGGGAGGCTGAGGCAGAAGGATTGCTTGAGCCCAGGAGATTGAGGTTGCTGTGAGCTAGGCTGACGCCACGGCACTCACTCTAGCCTGAGAAACAAAGTGAGACTCTGTCTAAAACTAAAAAATGAAAAGAAAAGAAACCCACCTGGACAGCAGTGGCAGGAAGAGACTTGCCAAGCTCTGGGTCAAAGGGAAAACTCTCAAGGCTGAATGAGGACTTGCTCAGAGCTGTCTAGGTGATCCACTCTCTGAGGCCTTAGGACAAACTCAGATCTTCCCAGAAGCCCACAGAGGATGGGGAGAGCTATATTCTTCAAAAATGTTAGATCTAGGGTCTGTTAGATTTTGAACTTATAAGACTGACTCTCATCCATCAAACAGTCTCTCCTCCTCCAAGAGAGATTCTGTGCTCCAGCTGCTCCTTAGGGCAAGAGCATCAGGTCTTGGAAAGGAATCCTAACACATGGTACTAAGATGGGTCAGAATGTCCTAAGGGAAAGATAGAATCCATGTGCTTTGAACTCTAAACCCAGGGGAAAATCATGTAGCTTAAGGACAGTGCCATTTGTACCTCTTTATAGCTGAACCACTGTCTGAAAAGATTTCAGTCAACAAAAGGAGTTTCTTTTTGTAATTGTTCTTATTGTTATAAGAGTACTACATAGCCTTCATAGAAATATTGAAAAGAGAAAAGCAAGAAGAAAAATTATTCATCAGCCTACTGTCTAAAGACATTCGCCGTAAACATTTGTATTTGTATCCTTCCAGACATTTTTCTATATGTCTTCCCTTGAAAAATAATATCTACTGTGTATAGTTTTGCAATCTGCTTCTTCAACCTAAAATGTGTCCAAAACATCTTTTCATGTAATTAAATGTCATTTTACAGCATGACTTTTCATAGCTGTATAATAATTCATTGTATGGATGCCTCCTGCTGAACATTTAGGTTGTTCTAGGTTTTTGATGTAATAACCAATGCTATAAAATTCTATGTTCTTGCTAAATCTTTGCACATGATTTACTTCCTTAAACTAAACTCCTAAAAATGTAATTATTGGGTCAAAAGCTATGTAACACTTAAAGGTTCTTTCTATATGCATTGCTAAACCATCCTGCAGGAAGGTTATACTGATTTACACTCCCACCAGCACTAAAAGAGAAAGCCCATTTTGTGTACCTTTACCAACAGTGAATTTTGTCATTTAAAAAATCTTTGAAGGTACCATTTATTCTATGAAAGCCTCCACATTGCTGAAAAGCAAATTTTTTCCAGTCAAGGAATTCATTTGAGTCACTATAAGATTAGTCCATTTATTCTGAAACCATTTAATTTCTGTCCTTGTGCCTGACCACTCACTGATGTCTTGGGAAAGAAAATAAGTAAGGAGGAACTTAAATGGAAAGGCAAAACGTACAAATTCTCTTATCTCTGCAGACACTGAAGAGGCCAGTGCTCCAGTCCCCACCGGTCTGGACAACAGCTGTGATTGTGGTCCTGCTGCTGGCTCCACGGACAGGCTGCTTCACCACCACGCGGGCTGGTCCGTGGCTCCTGGAGGGTCGAGAGTGATGATTAACGTGGAACAAAGATGCGTCAGAACAGCAACCATTAGGCAAAGACAGAGTGTTGAAAAGGAGATAGAGACCCAGTGATGCCAAGGGGCTCATAATTCACAGCCTAAACAGACTGCACTGTCTGCCTCCTTTCTTTCGTCACCCTTCTCCTCTGACTGGTTGCCCATCTCTATTAATGGCAACAATGTCCAGTCTACTTGTTCAGGGTTTCTCGGTACTGCATAATAAAGTCACAGATTTGGAACCAAGAGGCTTCAGTTTAAATCTCAGCATTCCACTTCCCGGAGGCTTAACCTTGGTTAAGTGGCTTCACTTTTCTGCTTTCCTATGGTTCAGATGAAGAAACTACCTCATGGGGTCATTGTGTTGATCAGAGGATGTATGATTAGTTTACTACACCTAGAGGGTGTGTAGCAAGGTGACTCTGAGTGAGCTGCACCCCAAGGGTTTTGAACCTTTGTTGGAGAGAAACAGATGAGGAATTGGACTGGGTGGGCAGAACAAAACCTGGACAGGCTATAGAAGTCCACATGCAGTATCACTGAAGTGAATAACTCAGACTTCAGAATATGTCTTGATAACAAACTACTGTACGTTTGACTTAGTGGGGCAAAGTATAACTCTGGGTTGATTTCCTCTGAAAGGAATGGATATTCCCAGCGTCAATGCATTCTGAATTAGGAAATGAAGGCCCAGGGCTGGACTTCAAAACTGAGGTGAAGAAAAATGCCCTTCTCTTTCTGAAGCTGAAAGTCAGTTTTGCCTGAACTTCAACCATGGGGATACCTGGGGTGCTTGCCATAGTAACAGGTAAGCCGCACCTGGCCTCATGGAACGGGTGGGTCAGGAGTAGGGTAGAAGGGCACCAGAATGTGTCTGAGCCTGTACACTAATTAGTCTGTATTGTGCTTCTCTTATGGGAAGCCTCATTAAGGATTTGCATCTGGTTTCTGGTGTGCTATGAAGAATTAAAGAAAGAGCATGCCTCATACTTGAGACAAAACAAACAAGAGATAGCAGCATTTCTTCCTGTTACACTTGTGCTAATAATCACCAAAGTTCAGCACCTGGGACACAACAGCCTGCAGGCCAAAGCAGAACATTCCTAACCACCCTGAAGGCAACACCCTCATCTTGAAACCAGCTGGGGAGCCCTTTACCTGTGATTTTTGGCAGTAAAGTCAATGGGATTTCATAGTCTCACAATATGGCTTACACTGTTCTTGTTATTAAGATCCACATCTCTTTTTCATCCCATCAATACTGCTCATGTCCACACCTTGCCAAACATGACAGCACATTAGCTTGTTAAAAAAACAAATGCCCAAGCCTTACCCCAGACCAACTGCACAGGTTTCCAAGGATGAGGTACAGAAATCAGTAGCATAACAAGGTTTCCAGGTAACTCTTAAGCAGTCATCCTGATACCAGTGGATTGGAGATCACTGATGGTGACTGCAATAGCTTCCAAGTATCCCACTGGCTAGGTGGTGATTACAATGTAACAGAGATGGGAAAAAATAGACTAGGAGGTTAGGTAGGTTGGAAGAGACGAGGATGTTCAGTTTAAAGTGCCAGTGAGACATAGAGAGGACACCTAACAAAGGGCTGGAAATGCTGCAGCAAAGATTAGACGAAAGGAAGAGTTGGGAGTGCCTTGTCTAGAAGCATGAAGTGGAGCTTTGAAACACCCTATCCCTTCCATCCATTTGGCAGTATAGAAATATCCAGGTTCTAACAAGCTTTTCAAGAGCCTACATAACTGCTTGAGACCTGGAAAAAAGTATTGGCTCCACAACATTAAAACTGCAAAGGCCAGGCGTGGTGGCTTACGCCTGTAATCCTAGCACTCTGGGAGGCTGAGGCGGGCGGATTGCACCAGGTCAGGAGTTCGAAACCAGCCTGAGCGAGACCCCGTCTCTACTAAAAATAAAAAGAAATTAATTGACCAACTAAAAATATACATACAAAAAATTAGCCAGGCATGGTAGCGCATGCCTGTAGTCCCAGCTACTAGGGAGGCTGAGGCAGGAGGATCGCTTGAGCCCAGGAGATTGAGGTTGCCGTGAGCTAGCCTGATGCCACAGCACTCACTCTAGCCTGGGCAACAAAGTGAAACTCTGTCTCTAAAAAAAATAAAAAATAAATAAAACTGCAAAATATAATTAATGATCAATTAAACACAAAAATCTAGCATATGTCAATTTTATTATCAAATTAAGAATTCACAAGTATTTTACATTTGGAAACAACTTACAAGTTCTCTTATTTTGCAAAACTCCCAAATATGAATGGTTGCTGAGAAGCAGCAGTCGTAAATTAAATGAATTATTCATAGTCGAAATAATTTCAAAAGCACAATTATAAAAATCCTTTCACTTATTGTACAGCTAAATATAGATAGATATAATTTATGGTGTGGGTACATTTTAATATGTTTGCTATGATGTGAGTTAGTACCTATTGCTGTAGACTGAATTGCGTTCCCCAAAATGTATATGTTGAAGCCCTAGCCCCCAGTGTGACTGTATTTAGAGACAGGGCTCTTAGAAAGTAATTAAAGTTAAGTGAGGTCATAGGGGTGAGATCCTGGTTCAATAGGAATGGTGGTCTTATAAGAAGAGGAAGAGAAATAGGTCTCTCTCTCCACCTGCATGTACGGAGGAAAGGCCATTTGAGCACACTGCAGATCAAGAGACCCCTCACCAGAACCCAAGCATGCTGGCACACTGGTCTAACTTCTAGCCTCCAGAACTGTGAAAAAATTAATTTCTCTTGTTTAAGCCATCCAGTCTATGGTATTTTGTTATGGCGGCCTGAGTAGACTAAGACATCTATGAAGATTTAACATTGGCCCTGAAGAAAGTACTTTTATATGTATCTTATTTCCTCTGCCCCCATGTGAGCTCCTAGAGGTTGGGGGCATATGCTGCTCCTCCCTGCACACCCGGAATGCAGCACACACCCTGAAAACCTGTGCGTGATCATTATTTGTCAAATTGAATCAAATGGATTTACGTGTCTCTTTTGTCATATCCGAGTCCTCCTCGAATCTAGCTATAAACTATGTGACCTTAACTGTGCTTCATTCTCAAGTAAAGGCACAACTTCCAGGTGTGAACTGATGAAATACAAGCAGAAGGTAGCCTAAAAGCTTTCGGCATCCCCTCTACACAATCCAAGGCTCTTACCTCTCGATGTGATGCCCACAGCTGGGGCTTCCACCATTAGGCTAAGAGCTTAAATCATCTCTGATTTTAGTAGGGGAATTTCTCAGGCATGAGCATCTGGATTAGATTTTTTCCCTGAAATGAACCATTTACAGCTTGCAGCCCTAGAATAAAATTTTTTGCTTCTGTCTCACCTTTCATTACAGTGAGGAAGCCTCTTTTCTATTTATTCCAAATCAAATAACAAGGAGGATAGCTTTTTCTGTGGTAGAAAAAAGTTGCTTATTTCTTTATCTGCCTCATTTTAGACTCAAGAAGAAATACATTATTTCTTTCCTTAATATCCTGAATCTTTAATGATTTTTATATTAAAATGTTTGAATTGACATACATTAGCTAAGACATTTCAATTCAAAATTATTGCTCATGTGTCATAATTAAAATAACCACCATAGCTACCCTCCACTGAGCACCTTCTACGTGCCACTAGTCCCATTAACTGACAGATTATTCAGGGGCTGCTACAGGTATCAGACTAAAGTAGCTGTTGCAGCTTCCTGAACAGTTTTCTATACATTACCCCAGGGAATTTTATGCTACCATGAATAGGAATGAGTTTGCAAACAGTGGGGAAAGCTGATGGCCACAGAGCTTTGCTAAATCAGAGAAAGCTGCCCATTTACCAACAAATTCAACACTATAGTTAGTAGAAAGAGCACAGATTTTAGATTTAGGCACACAAAAGTTCACATGTGGCTCAGCTATTTTCTAGTTGTTTATCCCTGGGAAACACAACTTCTCACAGCTCTCAGCTCTGGTCTCCCCCTCCTTAAAACTGGATTCAAAATATCCCTGCTCCACAGTTGCCAGGAAAATCATATACCTGGCACACAGTAGGCATACAGTCGATGGCAGCTGTTATTGTAACTTCAGGCTCCTGAACACCCCTCTCCCAGAGCATTCTGTACACTTTTCTGGGAAACAAAGAAAAGAGAAAGAAGGTCTGGGCGAGTTTTTCAGTCATCATAAGCACTACCCAAATGCCTTAAAATTCAGTCAGGATAATTGCCAGGCACAGGGGCGCACGCATGTAATCCTAGCTACTCTGCAGACTGAGGTGGGAGAATCACTTAAGCCAAGGAGTTCGAGACCAGCCAGGGCAACATACTGAGCAAGACCCCTATCTCTTAAAAAAAAAAAAAATCCAGTCAGGGTGACCAACCATTCCAGTTTGCCCAAGACTAAGGATTTTCCCAGAATGGCTAACTTTCAGTGCTAAAACCAGGACAGTCCCAGGCAAATCAAGATGCTCCCTAATCCTCAGAAGTAGAGGGAGGCTTTAACTGGTGGGAAGCAGGAGGCTGACGCCTGTGAAAGTTTGATCTGCTCTTACTGAGTAACACGTTAGGGGTTTCATGAAAAACACTTCTCCTTTTTTGACTTCACTCTCTTCTAGCATTCCTGCTCTTCTTCTAGCAGCTAACACATGCCCCACTGCATGTCCCACATGCCTGGTACCAAATTTGGCCTGGAGTGTTTGATGTCACTTTCTTCCTTAACCACTTCGGTACAGCGCTCACCGGCCACGAAACCTTGCCCACAGCCAGCACTCAAAGTCCACACGATAGTGTGTGACTTTCGTCACATTTCGTCATCCATTGACGACGAATCCGTTTTGCTCGTGTGATGAAGAAAGCTTTAAAGCACTAAAAGCCGGCCGGGCGCTGTGGCTCACGCCTGTAATCCTAGCTCTTGGGAGGCCGAGGCGGGCGGATTGCTCAAGGTCAGGAGTTCAAAACCAGCCTGAGCAAGAGCGAGACCCCGTCTCTACTATAAATAGAAAGAAATTAATTGGCCAACTGATATATATATAAAAAATTAGCCGGGCATGGTGGCGCATGCCTGTAGTCCCAGCTACTCGGGGGGCTGAGGCAGAAGGATCACTCAAGCCCAGGAGTTTGAGGTTGCTGTGAGCTAGGCTGACGCCACGGCACTCACTCTAGCCTGGACAACAAAGTGAGACTCTGTCTCAAAAATAAAAAAAAATAAAAATAAAAAAATAAAGCACTAAAAGCCTGTTTTACTTTACAGGCAGCTTTACTTGTAATGTAAATCAGAATAGGTAACATATACATATATGTTTTTTCACATTATTTTTAAATGTTCACAATTTTATTTTGATAAATGAAAAATGAGAAAAGTCATATCATGGTGTCGGCCAAAGTCGACACTCGGCTGTGCGCCTTCATATCACAGCTGTCGGCTAAAGTCGAAGCTCGGTTCATCTGTGGCTGTCGACTATAGTCAATGCTCGTACAGAAGTGGTTAATCTAACTAGAAGTACTGCCTTCCACGCTGGCCTCCTTCATTATTTCAAACTCTTAACTGAAGCCAAAATTCTTGAGTTTTTATTTTAAAAGGGTAGAAATCATTGGCAGTCAACAAAAATAAAGTTTTACTTTGTCAGAGTTCAACATTTTAAGAACAAAGAGACACCCCCTCACCCAAGCCAGCCCTTTTCTTCTCACTAGCCAAGCAAGGCCAAAAGGAGCTAATCAGCTGCACCCTTTTCAAGTACACATGGGAAAGGATAGCAGCCACTTCCTTCCCATGCCCAGTTTTCTTTTTCTTTGCATCCTTATAAAAAGAGATTGATTTGCTCTCCAACCAAAGAGCAAAAGCTGGGGAAAAAAAATTCCTCCTACTCCCTACCTCAACTTGGAAATGAAATGTTGTTGATCTTCAGATGATACGAGCGACAACAGAGGTGAGTGTATATTGATTAAGGAAACATCCTGAGGACACTTAGAGAAGTAACTCCCAAACCAATTCATAATAAGTGTTTTCTTGTCACTTGGACTATCCTTTATCCTTTGGCAATAAGCTGATTCTAAATCTAGGTTCAATCCAAAGTGAAACAACTCTTGAAAGAATGTTCCCTTGATATTCTGGAACCTGAGGTCATAGCAGTGTAACTGCCAGACACCTTTTTTCTTTAAAGACAGCCACACACCCACCTGGACATGTTCATTTTACTAATCTGAAGGGAGATACTGCTGGAGATATAATGTAAGTGAAAAAAAGAAGAGAAGAAAAAAGACTTATCTTTGGTGGAAAAATCCCTTTGCGTTAAGAGATGCCTCTAGTAAACATTTATCTAGCCAAGTGTCACTTAACCTTTCCTTGGAAGATTCAGAAAGCTGCGGGTCTCTGCCATGCCATGTGCCTGAGAAGCAGGACTTCTCTTCATCCCCACGACTGCCAGTGCAATTCAGCAAGTATAAGTCCCATCGCTAACCCAAAAGCAGGGACAGAAAGGTCTTTCAGCCCAAGTATCGTATTTGAATCCATCCTCCAGGAAGTGGTCTCCTCAAGTTTGAGCTACGCTAGGTTGCCCCAACCTTGTTAGAACTTATAGAAATCATCTGCTCCTCCATAAACTTAATTGATAATGCCAGGAAAGTGATGCTGCTTTTCTACCCAGCCCAGATGGAACCTAGTGAACAAATCAGGGGTTGGCTGGTCATGGCCTCCCAACAGCTCTGAATTCTCAGGGTCTTAGGAGCCTCTGAAGTATGCCTCTAGGACATACCCTACAGATGTGTGAACCCCAGAAACACTGGGAAATAACCTTAGAAGACAAAAAATTAGGCAAAATTGCACACTGAGAGGAGGGATCTGTGATCATAATTCAGTATTATATTAAAAAGACAACAGGAAGATATTACCTTTCATCCCATAGAGAATGATTGCTTAGGGTTTTGAACTTCAAAGCATTTACTTGAACAGGGTTGCTAACAAAAGCCTATAATACCCCCCAAAGGCCTCACCTCATAATACCATCAGTGGGGGCTATATTTCAACATAATTTGGTGGATGGGGGGGACAAACATTCAGACCATAGCAACAGGAGTTACATAAGCCTTAAAATATCACCTCACAGACTACTTATTAATTACAAAAAGGAAAAGTATACTTTTCCATGGAGAAATATGAAGATAGTAACCACATAATCACACTTACCATCACCAATAATGGAACAAACCCACAATGTTTGTCCTGATATGATGCAATGGGAAATATCAACTACGTAGTATTCTTGCCAAGGCTTTTAAATCCGATTCTAACCCTGAGAAAATACACAGACCCAGATTGTGAAGCATCCTACTAACAAGTGGCTTGAAGTAAAAAATGTTACTGTCACAAAAGACCAAAATAAAAAAATAGAAAAATTGTCCTAGTTTAAAAGCAATCAACAGACATAAGCCCAAAACATAACGGTTGGTCTTTGATTGGATTCTGAGGTTTTTAAAAAACACATTATTGATGAGACATTGAGGAAATGTGTAATTTTATTTCCCCAATTTTATTACGAAAGCTAATTTCCTAATATTATTGTATCATACTAAATTTCTTGGACATAATGATACGATAAATAGGAGAATGTCCTAGTTCTTAGGAGTTGCATACTAAAGTACTGAAAGTGCTGTGGTATCTGTAACTTACTATCAAACAGTTCAGAATTTTTAAAAAGTATATTCTAAATGCAATGTGGTATCCTGGATAAGATCTTGCAATAACAAGAAGATATTACTGGAAAAAGTAGTAAAATCCAAATAAAGTCTACAATTTTGTTAATAATAATGTTCCAATATTAATTACTTAGTTTTGACAACTGAACCAAAGTTATTTAAAATTTTAACAAGAGAAACTGGTTCACAGGAACTCTCTTTACTAAAGATGCAACTTTTCTATACATCTAAAACTTTCAAAATAAAAAGTTAATCTTAAAAATCTTAATTTTATTTAGAGAAAGATAAAGCAAATATTTGGCAAAATATTAACAATTAGTGACAGATGTATGAATATTTATTAGCCAAGTCTTTCAACTTTTCTGTAGGCTTAAAATGTGTCAAAATAAACTATTAAAGCTACAGAAGGTTAAAAATAAAATAATGGAAAAGATATCCCACAGAAACACTAACCAAAAGAAAACTGGTATCACTGTATTATAAGACAAAGTAGGCTTTAGACAAAAACAAAAAAGAAGAAGAGAAGGGAAAGGGAAAGGGAAAGGGAAAGGGAAAGGAAAGGGAAAGGGAAAGGGAAAGGGAAAGGGAAAGGGAAAGGGAGAGAAAGATAGATTACTAAAAAGAAATACATTATAATTAGAAAAAATTCAATTTACCAGAAAGATGATATAAATTTATATACATCTAATAACACGGCCTCAAAATATATAAAACAAAAGTGTCAGAAATATAAGAAGATATAGATTAATCCATGCTCATGAAAGATTTTAGTATATCTCTCAAAAACAGAAAAAATAGAGAAAACAAAATAAGGATACAGATTTGAATAATTCAATCTGCAACTCTGATCTAAAAGACACACAGAGGACTCTAAAATTGCAAAATACACATTCTTCACAAGTTTACATGGAACATTAGTAAACACTGACCATATACTGGGCCATAAAGCTAATCTCCAGTGCCCAAAGGAGGCATGGCACAGGCTTTCTGTTGTGCTGGCAATGTGCCAATTCTTGACCGGTTGGTTGGTGATTACACAGGTGTTTGTTTTATTGATAAATTCCTTTTTTGGAGGTGGGAGAGACAGAGGGTCCATTTTTTATGTGTAAATTATATTTTTTTGTTGTTCACTCTTGGTGTATGTACATTGAAAAAATTTTAAAAAGCATTAAAATCCTTTAGAAAGGCACTAACATACTATCAATATAATAAGCACAATGTAGCCTACTTTTTTCCTTCAGCATTTCAACTAATTGCTGTTTCTTCAGTTGAGTACCAGATGAAGTAATGGGCTTACCTGTAGAGGCCTCCTTGTACAAAACTTATGTATCTTTAAACATGAGAAGCATATTCGGCCTAGCAAGAAGCTCATTTTAAGAGAAACACACAGGAATTGAGATTCAGAGAAGAGGGGATCCATAAATCATAATTCACATTTAATCCAAAGCAGTATAGGTTCATAGGCTCATTTAATAAAATGGGCACAATCACTCACAATATTAAGAGTATTTTCCTTTCTCCCTTTTTATTTATTTTTTTGGCCAAGCATATACAGTTTAGGTGGCTAAGTTAAACACAAGTAGGTTTGCTTTTACACATCAGGAAGCACTGCTTGATTTGGGGGACTAAGGCTATGAAGATTAAAGACAGCAGCAAAAGAATTTAGAGGAATGCAAAGAAACAGCTGCCCCAAAGGAACCAATATAAAGGACATGATTATAGCTTATAGTAATCTTAAACCAATACACCCTGGTATATTCGTCGTCATCTTCATCATTGCTAATATTTACTTACTACTTCCTAGGCACTGTACTATATTTATGATTTTCCTAGATCAATTCATCTAACCATCCCACAATAGGCCTACAAAGCAGGTATGGTTATTAGTTCCAATTTATAGATGAAGACACTGAGGCTCTGAGTAATTGGCCAAGATCATCCAACTAGCAAATGGAAGAATTGGAAATCTAACCTACTGACTTCAGAGTACGTAATCTTACCCCACTATGCGATACTGCCTGCCTTCAGCAAATAAATGATGATTTGGACTTGATAATTTCTGAGGGATCATTCAGTTCTAACATTCTATGATTTACTTCAATAAATCCATGATAAAACATTCACCTAGGCCTGATAATCTTTAATTGTGGAGAAAAAATAAGAAAGCTCAATAAAATCTATTTATATGACTTCAAAGTCAGAACTCAGGTTCCCTTGGGTTATCAAAATGGGTCTTTCCCCATATTAAACCCATTGAAAAAAGAAATGGTTTTCTTCTTTGTCAGTCAATGCCTTACATTTTTTCCTCATATGAAAGACAGATGGCAGAGAGAACATGAAAACACATTCCAGCAAGAAATAAAAGAAAAAAATTTTAATATAATCATAGCATAACCCTTAAACACAATTGGATTGAAGACAAATTTGGTAAATGCAGATTCTTGGGGGGGGGTCCTCTTTTAAAATGCCTAAATTTAGTGTAGATGAAATAAACTTATAAACTCTTGATATTGGCCTTGAATACTGGTGGTCATTTGAACATATTAAAGCTTTAAAAAGTCTCACAGAATGCAGGACTTATTTGTTCTTCATACAAAATAGTTAGCGATCATAGTCAAGTCAAAATATTCTCATTTAAATCATTGAGATTTCCTTGTATAAAAATGCAGAAGTGCCTAATTTACTTTAAAAAAAAAAGAAATATAGCTAACTTCACAAATGAATATACTATAAAAGGTGCTAAATACTCCTTAGCCTTCATAAATAGTATAAAGAATACATCATATAAAAAAAAGTATAGCACAAACCATTTCTTTTAGAGGCCCAAAGAAGGACAAAAAAATTTATTAAGTCTGGGAATCAAAGATGACTTGGTATAATTGTGGTTACATGCAGAATTTAATGGTTAGACATGAAATCTATTTGGTCTAGCCTAAGATTCTCATAGCAAATCAGTAGGCACAATCAGAGGAGGAGTAGTATCACTAAAAACCAGAATAAATCTCCAATTTGCATGAGTTTAATGAACCAGATAGATAATTGTATCACCAATATCTGCCCGTAGCCCATTTTCAGTAAGATGAATTTTCTTGCTCATGAGGTCCACATCGAAAACAGCATGCTCAGAAATAGGGGTCTTCTCAGTGTGCTCTTTTCCCAGGACAGGAACTCGTCGAGGTCCCAACAGTGGATCATCAAATCTCATCAGTTTCACTTTGGAAAGATCTACAACAGAAGAGATTATCAATATGAGCATTTAACTGCAGTCACTAATTCAAACCTATGAATGAATCTAACAATTCATGTTTTAAAAACACTGACTGTTATATCTAAACAAAAATATTTTCATCAAATTACTAAATGGGACCCAATCTCAGGAGCAAAGCCAAAATCTAACAAATCTTCATTCCCTTTCGGCTTTTACCCAGATCAAATTGTCAGAGATTCTGTATAACACATCTCTTGGAATTATAACCTGAAAGAGAAAGAGTTCAGTGTATTTTTCAGCATCATGCTATATGGTCTCTCAAATCACTTTTTATATGCTTCAATTAACCATTCTATAGACTGTCAGAGAGTCTAAAACATTTCTTTTCTTGTTGTGTTTCCTGGAAAACATTAAACCTGCAAGAATTGTAGCTTTTCTTGGAGATCATTTTGGAGAAATAATTACTCTAAGAAACAGCACTAACAGTTTCTCATTTTGCCCAAAAGATGAAAGCATCTGTATAAAGTTGATGAGAGATGAGGAGAGAAGGAGGAGGGCAAGGGAAAGGACATAACTTCTAGAATTTTAAGCTTTAAAATGAGCTCCGATACCTATCCCACTTGAGATTTTCCCGATCTGCTCTTGTGCAAGCTGATAAGAGGGCTCCTGGAAAAAAAAAGCATCTGTCTCTTAAATTTATGATCCAACAACTGAGCCCAACAGAAATTTATTTATTTCAGCAATTCAGAGACTTCTCAACAATTTTATTTCAGATGGTAGAAAAAACACCAGAAATGACTAAAAATACTGATTCTGGGTTTCTACCTCATTCTAAGTGTAGCATGGCTAGTTATGTTTAACCTGATACATAAAAATAGAAGATATTTTCTGAATTACTTCCTACTCCTTTCTGAAACAGATCTCTGGGTGGTCCGTGAGCTACACTCCCTCATGTTGACTCAGGAGTATGAAGCTTAGCTCGAGGGGGATAGGAGATAAAAGGAGACATTAATGCAGCTGGCGGCTTGCCAGACATATAGGTTATCCATGCATTGTGTTCTCTTTGGGAAACAAAAACTGAAGGACTAAAAGTTTTGAGATGGGATCTTAAGGCTTATAGAGCAATTACCTACAACTACCACAAAAGCAAACCCTGTCTGAGAGTCTTTGCAGAGACTATACAATCTATTCCCTGACATAGCACAAGCCCTGAAAATTAAAATGGGAAAGGAAGAGGCACGGTCTTCATGACAGTCATAATCTTACTTGGGGAAAGAATACAATTCATTTTAACAGCTATCGCAATTCAACTTGCACATCAGGAGTACCAAATATTTCACTATAGAGGCAATGACAAGTCCTGCCAGCAGATTTTAGGCATAAGCCTTTTATTGCAGATCTGCCCCCCTCTCTCTCTCTGAAACAGACCTTCCTCGTCATTCCAAGCAATTCTGAATCAAACTATTTCAAAGAAACCTTAATACTAAATCAGACTTCTAAGTGACAAAACACATTTGCTTTGATGTTTCACTATGTAGTTCATTACTGTCGATAAGTTCTTGGAGCTTTCTTAGTGATTTCACTATCTTTTCTTATCCCAGACCTCTCATATCATTAAACACATTGAAATTTAAGTCTGTAACCACACAAGATTCAAGACCCTTAGAGAAAAGATGAGTTACTGAAAGTCCCTAGGGATTGATAATGTGAAATGGAGCCTTTCGCCTCCAAGTTGTTAGTTCATATATGGCACGGGTTGGGAGTGATTTAAATTCATTATCATCAAATAGTTACTCAGTGGCTTTTGTGGAGTCAAAGGATGGTTTTAGTATAGTTTCTCCTGGACCAAGATCACAATCACTCTCAAAATAATTGGCACTAATTGGACGACTTGCTGGCTGTCTAATGCAGCAAACAGACCCAGAAGTATGGTTACTGAATTTAACTCCTCTTCCATCTCATATACTCAATATACTCAGCCCCCTTAGATATCAAAGCATTCTGAAGGCTTTTGGAAAAGTATCAATGTTAGATCTCTTTTGAAGATACTTAAAGGAATATATCAATTCCAAACTCTCCCTAATGTTTCTATTTTCTAAAATTTACAGTAGCTACTAATACCAAACTTAAAATACTTTATGATAATATTATTCACTGCTAATATGATAAAGGAGATAAGAATTATGCCAGAGGCTCAGTGAGAAAAAACAAGAGATAGTAAACACATTTCAGTACAATTCTGCAGAACCTAGTCAGTGCTGTAGCTCAGTACATTAAAAAGTAAGACAGATTTTACATCATATAATAACAGTTTTCAATACAGGAATACATCCTCTCATGTGCTACAACCTCATAATAATCCTATCCAGTGGGTCCACACAAATATCTATTTTCTTTAAAAGCCTTCGAGGCCTTGTTCTTCAAGGCTAAGAGTTCTTACAAAATCTTTTCAATATAAAATAGCCAAATGGCAAGCCACAAAGTGGCTTCCTATATGTTCACACTTCCAAATTTTCAAGTTCTGCTTCTTGTGGTTTATAAGTTCTAAGGATGGGCTATCATCTATGATACCTGGTTTAACTGAGGGAACATAATAAATGCATATAGGAACATGGATGAATCTTGAAGACATTTTGCTAAATGAAATAAGCTAGACAAAAAAGCCCAAATATTGTATGATTCTACTTATAAGAGGTACCTAGAATAGTCAAATACATACAAATAGAAAGTAGAATATTGTGGTGGGAATGTAAATTAGTACAGCCATTATGAAAAATAGTATGGAGGTTCCTCAAAGTATTAAAAATAGAACTACCATATGATCCTGCAATCCCACTAGTGGATTTATGTCCAAAAGAAATGAAATCAGTATGTTGAAGAGATCTGCATGTCTATGTTTAGTGCAGTACTATTCACAATAGCCAAGATATGCAATCAACCTACTTGTCCATCAACAGATGAATGGACAAAGAAAATGTGGGTATATTTACACAATGAAATACTATTTAGCTGTAAAAAAGAATGAAATCCTATCATTTTCAAGCAACATAGATTAGCCTGGAAGACATTATGTTAAGTGAAATAAGCCCGGCACAGAGAGACAAATACCCGCATAAGCTCGCTCATATGTAGAATCTAAAAAAGTTGATCTCATAGAAGTGAAAAGCAGAATGATGATTACAAAGTTTGGGATGATGACAAAGTTCCAAAGATGAATGCTTGCGATGGTTGCAAAACAATGTAAATGTAATCAAAGTCACTAAACTGTACACTTAAAAATGACTAAAATGGTAAATTTTGTTATGTATATTTCACCACAATTTAAAAAAAAAGTCTATAAATAACAAAATCTCTAACCCTATACCCTAGTACACTGCTAGTGATGATGAGCCATACACAATGAAACAAGCAATTGGTATTTCCTTCCTAATACACCCTTTCTTCTTACCTTTGCAGGTATAATTTTCAAGGCCCCATCCAAACAATATTTATTTTTTTCAGACAGAATCTCGCTTTGTTTCCCAGGCTAGAGTGACTGCCATGGCATCAGCCTAGCTCACAGCCACCTCAAACTCCTGGGCTCAAGCAATCCTGCTGCCTCAGCCTTCCAAGTAGCTGGGACTACAGACATGCGACACCATGCCCGGCTAATTTTTTCTATATATATTAGTTGTATCCCTAACTGCTCAGACATAAAGAAAAAAAAAAAAAAGAGAGAGATATATATTAGTTGGCCAATTAATTCCTTTCTATTTATAGTAGAGACGGGGTCTCGCTCTTGCTCAGGCTGGTTTCAAACTCCTGACCTCAAGCAATCCGCCCGCCTCAGCCTCCCAGAGTGCTAG